GCCCTAGGCAGGCCCCGCCCCAGAGCCTGGATCTACGTAAAGAGGGGGCGTGGCTTCCCGAAGGGGCAGCAACCACTAGGCTCCCCGGATCGCACCCGGAGACCTCTGCGTGAATGCCGCAGAATCCTGCATGCGCTATGCGAGCCCGGGATTTTACTAGCGACCTAGGAAGTGACAGCTCAAGAAGTCTTTTGTCTCTAGAAACCTCAGGTAGCCACTGAGTCCGGTGTTTTCTCTCCAGGCTGCTAGGGGACCCTCCAATACGGCTGGTAAGGCCAACCGCCAACTTTCCTAAATTCTTAATTTTTGCCAACGTACCTAGTGAAAGGGCATTTCGTTGATTCGCATCTCTCTAGTCCCAGATGGCTTTGGGTGTCTCTCTAGCACTGGCGTCTATCCCCTCTCTGCATCTCCACATGTCCTTGGCTTATTTTTTCCCTTGGGGTAACAGCAGCCTTAGATCAGAAATCCTAAATTCCCGTTTGGTCAGATCCATCAACTTTTCACCTTATAGTTTGGGCTTTTGGTGTCACGTTTAAAAAGTCTCCTCCTCCTACCCCAGACAGATATTCTCTATTTGCTCCGTTGTTTTCCCTTTCACATTTAGGTCTAATCTGAGCCCATCTTAGACTACCTTAATTATTTGGAGCTAGTTTTCACATCACAAGCTGTTAAACAACTCTTATTTCGCAAATGAGGAAACAGAGGCTCCCTGAGAGGAAACAACTTGTCTAGAATCGCAGGAGGTGTTGCAATCTCCTTGGACAAATATGCACGACTTACGCACGCACGCACGCACAGCCCCACGCGTCACCCCTAACCCCAAGGCTGAGGGATCTCGAGGAGTTGGCTCACTTGGACTAGGAAGGTGCGACCTGGGGCAGGATCTCTGCACGTGCCTCTGCTACCATCTACAGACCATGTGCAGAACTGCAGGCACCGGGACTCCTTCCCACCCATAGGTGTTTCTGAGCCTTCTTCTGGCTTTGGGCTTAGGGACCAGCGATCCCACTCCACCGTTCCCCAGAACATATACCTCGTAGACACCTGGGCTTCAGGTTCAGGCTCTTCAGAGCAGCAGCTCCTGGACAGTGGGTACTCGCTGTGTGCAGGCATTGAATTGAGTGAGGGTGTAGGGGGTTCTGCCCTATCTCCTTAAGGTGACCTTCAAACTAGCAGGGTTCAGTGAACAGGAGGCCCTAATAATAGCTTCAACTGACCTACTGAACCATTCTTTCAGATCAGATGCTGAGCGGGTGCTCTATCTGGGTGCCCCATAAACTCACTGGGTCTTGAAGAAGGAGGGCTGTATCCATCCCCTTAGACACACAAGATAGACAAACCCTGAGAGGTCAGGTGACCTGTCTGCAGTCAGTAGCTATCATGGCAGAGCCCCCATCCCAACCCCAAAGAACAACTCCAGGGCTCAACTCTCACCCTTAAACTATATCCTCCTCTTGTGTGCCTCCTTGCTCCCCTCCCACATCCACATATGCACATACATACGCACACATGTTTACATATGTGCACACACACAGAGACACTGGCATGCACAAGCACACAACACACACTCACACACATTTATGCCCAACTGGACGCAGGACCTCTGTCCCTGAGCCCTATCTGAGAATCTCATCTAAAATCTCAGAGCTTTGGAGGCAGCACAAGATCTGGAAGCTTCCGCTGGTTGGAAGCAGCTCCTGGAAAGCAGGTACTCTCTGCAGGCATTAAACTGAGTGAGGGTCCTCCCTCTGGAGGTGACTGGTTTGAGCCAGATGAACCTGAAGCTAAGCAAGCAGAGTCCCACTGATAAGCAGAGGGCGAGGCAGCTGAGAGTCGTCTGGCTCCGTGTCCCAGCCAAGGGCGTCTCAGTGCATTCTCTGAGATAACTTACTTTCTAGAAATGGAATTAGATTACAGTTATTCTAAAAATTGTATAATTGTACTTTTGAACTGGTATCTTTTATTTAAAAATTATAATTGCATAAGTAAAACTCATTATAATAAATTCAAACTATACAGAAATGTAAAAAGTCAGCAATGGCACTGCCTCACGCTTACAGTCTCCATAACCAAGGCCAGTGCTTACCCAAGCGCACACAGGCCTCATATGGATGCGGCACAGACAGATGTTTTGCAACCACTCACTTAACCCAGGAGAGTCAGAACGCATGGTTTCCCCTCACTGCTCATGTTCCAGCAGCCATCTGCCACATCCACCTTCATCCTGATGGGAGGATTCAATATCTGGGGTGGCTGGGTCAGGGTAGGGGTGGGTTCATTGTGGCAGACTCTGCCACACGGCCCTCATGACAGCTGTATGTCCAAGAAGATGGAACTGAAGCCTTTGGAATAGCTTACAGTGACCAGTGGGAGTGCCTGGAAGAGCCAAATACACCCACACCCACACATTCATACATCCATAAATACACATGTGGACTGTCCTTCGAAGAGAGGTGAGAATATAGAGACCAAATGAGCCAGACTTTGAGGAAGGCACTGCTGTGTATTGTTGTGACCCATCTTGTCACTGTTCTGGGTGGTGAGGGACAGATCCTACAGCAAGGCCCATCCCTGCGGTACAGAGTAGAGGTTACCCTGGGAGAATCTGTGGGTTTGGCCGGTGAAACCATGAGAGGAATTGCCACTGGGTGGCAGTGTGAGACCAGCAGTCAGCAGGGGCGCATGGGAGCTGCCAGGGCTGAAGAGGTAATCATGAGATGGCCAAAGGGACTCACAATACCTAGCACAGGCAGGCACCTGGGACAAAACAGGGGCATACCACCGTTCCCAGCAGCAGCTGAGGTACATAGTGCTGTCAAATTCACAACGGATAGTTGGAGAGCAAAACCCGTGGGGCCTTTTAGTTTACACACAGAACTGCAAATCACTGACTTCTGTAGGGGACACTTTCAAGGAAACACCCATAATGTTCTAACAGGGAAGCTTCGCTGAAGACCTTTCAGCTGGATCCTGAAGGATGCCTAGGAGTTGGCATGTCACGGGCACCTACAGAGGAAGTGGGGGAGAGGTTAGGGCCCTGGGCATCAACTCCCAGCTCATCACCTGCCAGCTGTGAGATCTAGGGTACATTGTAACCTCCTCACCTATAAAGAAGGAACAATAAGTAGCAATTAGACAATAAAATGAGGATGGATACTGCTGAGAGTGCCTGGCACATAGTAAGTGTTCAGTAAAGTAGTTATAGTTAGACAGAAGAGGGAGAACCTTGGGGTAGAGAGCCTAGAATTTGCAGGGCATATTTTTGCATAATTTCGAGGGCCCCATAGAGACCCTCGAATCCTAGCACTGCTGCCTGGCAGCTGTGAAGCTGCTTGGTCTTTATAGCAATGGGGCAGTAGACAGTTCCTACTGGAGCGACAGCACCTTACCCGGGGGCCCCAGGCTTAGCTCTCTAGGTGCCTCAGCCATCAAAGTGGGTGATGAGGTCTCCACACCTGCCCATCTCCCAAGAAACTAGCTTATTTCCCGCTCAGGAGGGGCTCACTGGGCTACTCTGAAATTCAACTTCCTTTCAGGAAATTTACAAGGGAGTGGGTCCCCTGAAGTCATTTCTCATCTTAACCAAATAGTTTTTCCTGTTTCACAGGGTTTGGCCCTATGTTCTACCACCCCCCACCAAGTCAGGGCAAACTCAGCCCTGTCTGCCCTGTAGAAAGCCCAGATACTATCATTCAGGCTTCTGAACACTGCCAAGAGTCTGTCACCCCTGTCAGGGAACCTGAGCCTTCCTTCCTTCCAGGGAACCTAGGGGTATACACTGGGCGGTGGTGGGGAGTGGACTCTGTCATTTCCCCCACTCTCTCTCCCTCCTTCTGGCCAGAGGGCTTGGAGGAGGTGTGTACAATCCCTATCGTCTTTCAAGACGCTCCTTGGTGGGTCCAGTGAACTGGGAGAAGGTGGAGAGGGTTGCAGGTAGGAGTGTGAGCTTATGATTCAGGGTTGGGATCAAACTCTGGCCCTGCTCTTTCCTAGCAAGGCATTTTGTTCCCTGGGACTCACTCTTCCGGTCTGCATAATGGGGTAATACCAGCTGCTGAGGCTCCGCGTGTATGGCAGCGAGTGTCACTGCACTGTTCCTCTCCGTTTATCACCCTACCTCAGTGTAACTCTGGTGTTTGGAGCTCCGGGTCTTGCTCCCGCATTTTTGGGAGGCCCACCAACCCAGAGACGCAGTAGACTGGCCTGCGGGGTCAGTTGAGGGCTGAAAGTCCCTGCCTGCCTCCCCAAGTCGGTAGTCACTTCTTCCCTGATTAGCGCACAGGCCAGAGGCCGACGCGGGCTCAGACAGGACGGCCCTGCCTGACGCACAAGGTTAGGTTGTGTGCCTTTTCCCCCAGTTCTTCCAGAGAAAACGTTCTCCCTGGATCCTTTTGGCTGTGGTGGCCACAGGCATGACTTCTGTGAACCTGCCCGGATCTGAGCACCCTCTCCGCACCCCTCTCTCCTCCCATATCCCTCTCCAAACCCCACCCCATGCCACTCACCTCCCCACCACCCCACACAGTTAGGGGCTCCAAGTGCGGCCCACAGGGGGAGCTTGCACACCAGACAGACCACCTTGGAGGCCCATGACCCTGCCCCGACGCTGCCATCATTCTACAAAGAAATAAGGGAGCGTGTCCCCACGAAGTGGAGTGCCCGAAGGAAGTCTC